AGCAAGGTTGTCCCTACTCACTGCAGGAATGAGGGAGGTCTCCAAGGCAGGATGGCTGCCCCACAGAACGCAGCTTTTGTGGGTTGCAGACCCATACCAGAACCCTGTCTGCCCTCCTCCGACCCCCACGTCCTTTAAAATAAAGACATCATTCTCAATAGTGGCCAAAATAAGATTTCACAACAGTCCAGTGGAACTGCAATGAGGCACACGACGTATGGAAAATATGATAAAAAGGAACTGCATCTCTTTAATTTCAGATGCACATTGAGTTAGGGATATTTATGTGCTCTTAGCAGAACGTGTAACGGCTCAGATGAGGCAGCTACAAGGCCTCAAAAAGTTTCTTCAAACAACTGCTTGAAAAATTAATGTGAACAGAAAAGCCATCTAAAACAGCTTTTCTATGAACTATTTCCCAATGCTCTGAGAACTTAAAGCACTACAACATAAGAGGAAAGGCGTACCAACAGCCATGTAGCTTCATTATATAAAGGGTACAAAGTAAGCCATAATTGGCAAAGAGATGATAAATACATTTTTTTTTTAATTTACTTTAGTAAAAAAAGAAGAGATTTGAAGCGATTGTGTTACGTGCATCTCTAACAGCATTCCTCTAGAAATAACACTGTAACAGCTGAATTGAGGACTATGTGTTTAAAAGCACACCCAAGCCCAAGCTGCATGAAGACAGGTAATTGCAGATTAATATGCCACTGTAATACTTATACACGAGAGTGCTGAGTTAAAGTTGCCATGGGAAACAAGGCTGAATTTCTTCACTTTTCAGCAATTTGCCATCAACCTCAATACAGGTTTTGGCAGGTGATTTCTAACGCACTGAGCTTAACAGCTACACAAGAACCGTGCTAGCAGAAAGTTGCTGCAGGGGGATACCCAGGTAGAACAGGCAGAGACCAACACATCTCCATTATCAGCCCTTCCAGGGGATGGGAGCAACCAGCTGCCTCGTGAGCCACCTCTGGCAGTCCTACTCTGCCCTTTGTAAATCACCTGAAAGAAAGACTGGCTCTCATTTGTTCACGTGGTTTTGTGTTATGACCATACCTTTTTTGTACACTTAAAAATAAATTAGTAACTGAACATCTGCATATTCGTAGTCTCGATGATTGCAGTTTATGTTGAAACGGTGAGCGACACTCAGTATTTATTAACAGGTGTGTCCAGTTTCGCTCGACATTTTTAATCAAAAGCACACGCACAAAGAGTCAAACATTAAAGGAACTTGAAACAAATAAGATACACTAAAGAAAACTACTCAAATGTTTTTGTATTTAAACCATGCTGTTTAAGTGAGCGAGGAAGGTCATCATCTGCAATTCATTTATTTCTCTGCCTCTGGTCACAGCCTCCTTTAGCAGAGATTTGGCCATGTCACACCTTCAGAGCAAGAGGGAGGGGGGCATTTCTAATTCCCAGCTGATCAGCAAATCTGAGTGAACCCAAGACATGAAGTCAAATACTTGAAAACCCGACCTGAACCAACAGTATCTTCACCACTGCCAAAAGTTCATTCAGCAGTGGAACAGCTTCTACCCCCAGCAACTTCCCCCAGGGCAGGGCCTGATGCACCACCTGGCAGCAGGCACACAAGCTTAAAAAAATACTCATTTTTCATGAAAGTGTTTTTATGTATTGCAGTAGAGGCTGACATCCCACGTAGGGGCCTAAATTCAAATTCAGGTATGAAAAGCTCTGATTTCTATGATTCTGTCAGACTTTTTTCTTTTTTTTTAACCTTTAAGAAAATCATCACTTTTCATCCACTTGGCAGAAGCTGAAGACAAGCTGCAGGGCTTGCTGAGTGAATGGGACGCAGCTCCTCAGGGCACTGCCAGCACAAGGGTACAGGCAGCTGCAGATCTGAGCCTGGGCAGCTCCTCAACACAGCACTGAAAGCAGGGGCCAAGATAAACAGCTGCATGCGAGGACAAAGGAACAGAGGAGCAAGCCTCCCACTTATTTGTGCATCTTCACTTGTGTATCTAAAGTACCATACGTACCTACCCTTACGAGCTGACAGTGTACAAAAACAGGCACTTAAACTGTTAAACTGTTAGCAGGGGAAAGAGAAAGCAGCAGAGCTGAAGCAAGCTGCCACTGCTGCAGGTCCAACTCCTGCTTGACACTGCTAGGCACTGGATCAAGTTCCAAACACGAGGTAAGCTTTGAAGAGATGCAAGGGAGCAGCCATAAACATCTCTTACTGCCAGCCCCTTGCTGACCTTTGGCTGGTTAAAACACTACATGACAGAGGCCGTGCCTCTATTCTTCCACTTTTCCCACTTATTCATCTGGGGCAATGCAGATAAACTCTCCACCTTCTTTTCTGTCTGGGATGGTCTCATCATTCATAAATAAATCTGTAAGCCAACCCTGCCCTTTTGTGCATTTAAACATGCACTTTGATTTGGGGGCATATCTGCTGAAAGCTATCAAGACAGGGAGATGACAAGGATGCAGGCTGATTGGCATGCTCTGTGCCACCAGCCCTGAGAGCACCTCTCCTCTGCAGACAAAGGGCAGAGACCACAGAAGTGGTGAAGCACAGGGCAGCTGCCACATAGCCAGCAGTCACACCACAGATGGCTTCCCAGGGGAACACTGTTGTCCTTGACTCTCCTTGATCCCCTTTACAGATGCTGTGCCACAGAACCTTGGAAGGGACCAGAGAGCACGAAAGAGGATGGAAACGCAGGAGCTCTGAGTGAGAAGTGAGATGAGGCTGTCAGCTGCAGAGGAGCACATATAAGCAAATACAGAGGAAGGGGGAACAGACGTGGCAGTACATACCTTGGCATAGAGAAAAAGATAGCTCCTGCTGCTAAGGAGCTGGGATGTTTTGAAGAGTAGTCAGTGAGAAATGTGAAGTGTACCGCACAGTACAAGTGTGCTCTGCCAGACTTCCAGGCTGAGCTGGCTAAATTTACAGCTATGACTACCCACTGAATGTAACTTGGATCACGGCTTAGCTCTTTATGCAGCCTCCTCATCAAATTCTAGAGCATTTGGATTTCACTGTATCACTTACCACACTTCTATTTTGCGAGTGAGGAAACAAAAGCAGAAGAACCACAAGGATCACAGCTAAGATCAGAACCTGACCACTCCCAGGTCTGCTCTCATATTGCATCTCCAAAACCTGTGTGCCACTGCTTCACTGGAAAATACTGCCAGGAATACCTTGCACAAAAATCAACATCACTGAAATACACAGCGCCGTTTGCTCACTCAGACATGTAGCCCTGCAATGACCAGAGCAACAGCCACATCAGCCAGCAAAAAGGTGAAACATAGGTAGGGGCATGAGCTAATAAAGGCTCTTTTCTGTAAAGCTGCCCAATTCCAGCAGGCAAATTCAGCCTTTTCAGTGACACCGATTGCCATGCAGTAAGAGCATTATTTATTTGTCAAACTCATTTGTTTGTGAGGACGTGAGGGCCTGACAGCCCTTACAGCACACAAGATATGATACAGACAGGCACAGAACAGAGCAGACAGAAGAAACAACGCTGAAGAACATCTCCACCTTAAAGGTGCAACAAAATATATAGCGGATCTGCATTGGCCCAGGCCATTACTTTCTCTGGCAAGGACTTGGGGACAAAGCTCCTTAAAACAGTAGTAATCATATTCCACTCATGCTCCTTTTTACTGCCAGCTGTAAACTAGCTCCACATGCATCATGGTTTTGCATCAAAATGTGCACGGACCAAGCCCATATCCAAAGGGACAAGGTAGATCCAATTTACAGCCTTGACAGATCTGTGCACCCGAGGCTGAGCGTGCAGGAAATAGCCCTACATCTCACTTGGAGAGCGGTTACAACCGCCAGCAGAGTGGGATGCAGAGCCACAACAGCCTCCCACAAAGACCCAGAATACAAGGAGAGAATGTGCAGTCCTTTTTGTCATGAAACAGGAGGGATGGGTGGCACTTGAGATGCCTACATCTGATCCCAACTCGCAGCCCTCCTTTGGTAGATAAGCTCAAAGGAAGCCACAGCTGCACTGGTGAGCAAACCCATTGCGCCAAACCATCTCAGTAAAGAGATGCCACACTGATTTAGTATGTTTGAAGCAAAGCAAATCAAAGTAAATCTCAGACATGATGCACGAATTAGCAGTAGCATTAGTATTAGTATTAGTATCAGTATGAGTAGTATTACTTTTTGGTATAGAGGAGGGTACAAAGTCTGAGTTCAGCCTGGACACTAAGAAATTCTGTCCGTTACCAGCCCAATATTTCATCTCTTCTTTTTTGGCATGTTTTTTCCATTTAAGCAAGAAAACCTAGGCCCACACTGCTGATAATTGAACATATATTTAACTAACTTACTCTACTCTATGACAGAAGAACTGGCTGCAGAAATACATCCAAACCCCACCCAGATCTCTGCGTATCTCAGGAGGCCAGACACTGGCAAACCTTTCTGAGCAGCTCTGTTCCTGTCTCATTACACTCCAGAGTGAACACCCAGGCAAGATAACTTCAGCACCACCACACAGCTCAAAACCATTGTTCTCTGTTTAGAAACACCATTATTCTGCACACACTCATATCATCCAAATTGTGTTTTGCTTTTTTTTTTTTTTTTTTTAAATAAACCATTGGCTAATAATAGACCTTTTCCTTACAGAATCAAAGGTTGCTGAGAGCACTCTACTAATGCAGGTTCCCAGTCAGCAATTTTCAACCCCCCACCACTTCAGGCAGACAACAAGCATACACGACTAAGTAGCGTCTGTGATAACACATGTTATCACTTCCATGGTGAAAATCAGGCTCCTTCATTTCATTTCCATCACAGCGACCTGGCACTGCTGCTTGAGAAAGCAGGAGCTCTGGGGGAGCAGCAGTAGAAAGAAGGTGGGAGAAAACAAGGAAAGTGAGCTATTCAGTACTGCATCTTTTCTTTCCATCTCTCAGAATGGCAGTATCAGCTTACAAGCACAGAATTAACAGCGTCAACTATTTACCTGAGGATGAATCTGTGGTTTATCACATGTGGCCTCAAAATCCAGCACTAAGAAGTAGTGATATCTCTGTGGAGGGAAGGATGACATTGCTGCCATGGAAGCTCCAAAGCCGTGGGACGCCAGTTTCCTGCTTATGATGGAGCCGTACCCTTTGAGAAGAGCAGCAGGGAGGAGCAGGCACACAGCTTGTCTCGCCCTTGGAAGAAAGTGTTGGGGAAACTTTGCTGCTCCAGTATGGAGGAGTGCTATCATTGAACATCCAGAGGCATCTGAAACTGAAGAGAGATTCGTGTTACTCACGCGCTCACATCTCAGCGCTGTCAGCACCGCTCCATTGCACTCTGCCAGGGGTTTTCCTTGTGCTTCCCCGTGTGGCTTCCAGCACTGCCAACTAGAAGCAGCACAGCAGCCTGCACTAAGCACTATGGATGGAGCTCAAGGTAGCCCGAACCACATACACCTCAAGATCAACCCTCTGCAAACAGCTCTAAATGAAAAGCCACAGACAAAACAACAGCCGTGGCTCCAGGCACCACATCACACAAACCTGCTGAGCCTTATCACAGCACAACACAAACTATTAATGCTTGAGAAGCTCAATCCAAAACCCACTGAAATTTCCAAGGAGGCTTTTGCCTTTTTGTATACAACACAACTTCTAATACACAGCAGGAACTGAAGGCAGCAAGCACACCTCAGCACCATGACCCCTCAAAGCAGCCTATCAGTCACACCGAGACCTCCCTGCTCCTACAGATCCAGGACAGAGGAACTGACCATGACAATGCCACCAGTCCACCCCGCTAAGCCAGCACATGGGCACCCCTCCCAGCTCTGCTGGCTGACGGCAGCCACATCATCCCCCACACACAGCACAGCCTCTGTGGGGTTGAGGACACGGGGCACTGGCTCTGGGCACAGCCTGAGGTCCCACCCAGCCACGTGTACTCAATGCACGGAACGGGAAATGGAGCCCGCAGCCTGCGCACAAATGCACTATTTGCACAAAAGACAGCATTTGCTCTTTCCCATCCGTTAGTCCATCAGGTAAATAATGCACGTGCCAAAACACACACTTAATGAGGTAAATAATACGCCTTGAATAGCAGCTAAATCTGTATTTACCTGCGAGACCAGAGAAACTCGGAAGGACCAGATTAGGAGATAATTGCGGCTGAGCAGGTTGTGTGCTTCGGGTAAACACGCGCTCTGCAACCTCCCCTTACAGGGCCAGGGCAGAGCAGCACCAGGCACAGCACAGCTGGGAAGCAGAGGTGCTGCGGGGCTCCCAGCACTGCCCACACTGCAAGCCCACAGTGTGAGCACTGCCACGCTTCAGACCTTCCACATTCTGGGGGGCTGCTCGCTGTGTTAGTGGTGTGCCAAGCAGCAGGTATTCAGCAAACTGAAAACTCAAGTTACAAAAGCATAATAAAGAATTCCCCACAAGACCAACGTTGTATTTATCCCAAAGGGGCTCAAGCCCGACCTATTGCTTTTCCATCTACAGCTTTTACCGTCATTAATAAATGCATTAATGCACAATAGCAGTTAGTCACATTCACTTCTAACCGCCTCAAATAAGAGATACTTAAGGTGTACGTGCTTGAAATTTTCAGGCCTTCAGCTATGAATCTGAAGGTCCATCACTGTAACATCTCAGAATACAGCAGCATGTAAGTTAGTCATGGCAAAACCCGGCCTGTAGCCTGCTGCATAAAGCAAAATATACAGTTGGGATGGGGGAGGCAGGCAGACTCCAACCCCTATATCAAGCACAGGCAATAAAGCACACCACGCTGTCCACCTACACAGCAAAATCAGCACTTCCCTCATGCATCTTCACCAGCATGGGCAGGGCATCGAACACGTGCAGTGTGAATCTTCAGGCCAGCCTGCAATGCATGGGCACTGTCAAACAGCTGGCATGGAGAGCCAACCAACACCCTCCCAGGCACTCCGTGCCCATCTGAGAGGGAGCTGAGCACTGAGCAAGGTGTGCAGGTGGAGCATTCCGTGCCGACTGCCCTACGCAGACAGCATAAGAACAGGAGCAACCCTGCTGCACAGCCTGCACTCAGAGCCAAATGAAGTTTCAACTGCCTGTTTACCCAGCCATGCTCCTGGTGCCCTGGGAAGACCTTACATCATCTTCTCTGGGAAGGTCAGAGTGCCTCCGAGCACAAGATAGCTGTTGAGCAAACATGCTTTATTAGAAGTCATGTAAAGCATTTATAACTGCTGTGACGATGCGAGGCACGAGTAATTATCCCTTATTTCTCCCCCCTCTAAACAGGCAACAACCCAAGCAGTGCAGCTTCAGAAACCAGAAACCCTGCTCTGCGCACATAAATCCAGGTTGCATGATCCCATTTCCACACCTAAGCAAAAAAGCACGCCTATACTTCTCATGCACAGAGGGTGAGATTATCATCTCAGATAGTGCAAACTGCCACATCTGGCATCCAATCCTACTGGGTTAGTATTTCATATCACACAGCTCCAATTCCTTGCAGATATGTATGAAATATAAGGGGACCGTGAGCTGCAGCTGGACTGCAGGAATTGTTTTGACAGATTGTACACAGCCCTAGGAAAACGTGACAGCACGTTACAGTTGCAACACCCAATAACACAGGAAAGGGCCGTGTCCAGTGGGTTTCAGCTGAAGATAAAGTTAGCATTAGGTGCTGTGTAACACCTATCCACCAACGGTGAGATAGTAATGAACCTCAAGCCTGGGAACTTGAGCTCAACAGGCTCTCTGCAATGAACATCAATTTTTTCTTACAACTAAATCTAATTAAAATCCTGGCAGCAAAAGAAGACATCTCTCCTTGCTTCTAACCCCAAAATATTCCCCACCATAGTTGGAGACAAAAGAGGGGAAAAGACAAACTGTGCTTGGGTTGCCCCACCAACCTTAAAGGATGTATTTTAGAAAGCCTCCACTTACATGCTAAATGTAAAATGATTTTACCACAGCATATATATATATATATATATATATGTATATGTATATGTATACATATATAATACAAATTTAGAAAGAACTAGAGACCAATGGAAACAAAAATTGGAAAAATAAGAAAGAAAAGTAAGCAAGGAAGGTTTGGGAGTAATATGGGCCAGTTTATTTCCCGAGCAAAGCCCAGGCACAGGCAACTACGACTGCTGCTCTCTGGCAGACAGCTGAACTCAAGGCTAGAGCAACCAAAAGCGGTCCAAGATGCAAGTCAGACTCGTCTTTTATTGCTGACTTATGTTCATAAATATAAAGGATAAAAAGACACAGCTATAAAGATGTATTTTGTAGAATAACATTGCATATGTTTAGCAACTCCTGGAACAGAGTATGATAAAAAGAAAAAAAGCAGGACTTCCAATTTGGGAGCTGCTCAAATGTGTACTCAGAGGTCAACTGTGAGACCATATTTCAGCTGCATGAAGATGTAACTGAAGAACAATAGAGAGAACTTTATAAAAAACAACAGCATTAACCTAAGAGAAAATATTTCATTGGAGGGACTGGAGTCCAAAAAATGACACCACCTGGCTAGCCTGGGAGACAGGAAAGAAGGCTCAAGCACAAAACCAGCTCAGCTTATCCACTGCTGTCCAAACTCGCAAAAAAATAAAATAAAATACATACAGTAAAAAACAAACAGCAAAACACAAAGCTTTCAAAACCATTTTAATAATGTAACACGATTGTAGACAGGTAAGTTCTCTTCCTTAACGTGTTAACCTCACAGCATCATCCCTTGACCATCACTCCAGCATACCTTCATTACAGCGCTCCATTTCTGGCTGGGTTTGTCTGCAGCACTGCTGGACAACCAAACCCATGTTTCAGAAAACTCACAACGTCACTTTCCCAGAGCACTCGGGATGCTCTGTGTTGTCCCAGCATTACCCATCAATAGCTACAACTTGGTATTAATCATCCTGCTTTGCAGAACTGTGCCCAGACTCTGCCCACTGTGCACACAGAGGTCCCTGTTCTCAAGAACTTACAGTCTAAACCTACATGTGATGCAGTGCAGAGGCTAACAGCAAAGAATGAGGGTTCCAGGGCAAACTACTCATCTGAGAGAGATGCACACCTCAGTGGTTGAATTAAAACCAACCTGCTCATCGCATCACCCTGCCTGAGCATTACAGGAGAAGCAAGTGAACACAGAAGGGCTGATTACGAGATGGAGGGCGCTCCTGGATTTAAGAAAGTTCTCTGCCATTCCTTCAGCTCGCTCTTCCTGCTGCATTCCTCAGCTGCCGTGGCAAAGGCCTGAGTCACATCAAAGCACCAGAATCTCTCAGAGTGAGAGATATGATGGTTTGGGTGATTTGAGGCAAAGGGAAGTCCTTCCTAAGGACACCACAGCCTATGAGGCTGGAAAACCAACCCACCTTGGCATGTGGGGTGACTCGGGGACACTCGCACCAGGCAGACCACCCAGAAGTGCTCCCGAAGACACACAGTACAATTCCACTTTGATTTTATTAGGCCACCTCTGCCAGGCAACCCACTTTCGTCACCTCCTCGACTGGTCTCTTAAGACAGGTTTTGCTGGGTATTTTTAAACCTTCTCCAAGAGTAAGTGAGGATTGACAACAAGAGCTAAGCTGAAGTTGGAAGAAGCTCTGCTAGGTAAAGGACTGGTCACTTACAATAAATGCAGAAGAGAAAAACGACAAATATTAAAACAAGCAGCAACAGCAGAGATGCATACAACAAAAGATTGGCAAGTTGCAGCAGAAGAGCAGATTCAGCATCAAGGAGTAGAGTTAAGAGATCCAAGTTCTCAAGCCCAGTCTTCCATCTCAGTGTAGGAGCCGTAAGAAAATGCCCTGGGGTGAACCTAGACACAGCAGGGTTAACCAGCCCAACAGCTCTCAGAGGCCAGAAGGAGGCAGGCCCATATTCCCTCTCGCTCTTATTCTCCTGCTGATCATCTGACACCAGCCTTGAGCTAGTCAGGCCTCGCTGCGAGCAGATTCAACCACAGGAACCCATAAAATGGCTAATGCAGCCAGAATAAAACACAATTAAAACAAGATAGTTTCCTGCCGGCTTAGTGAGACGAAACAGCCTGGGGATGGGCTGGATGAGTGCCAAAGGTCTGAGGAGGGGATGCACCCACACTGGCAGAGGCAGGAGGGAGATGAGCCAGTGGAGCTGCTCAGCCACACACCTGACCACGTGCTGCCTACAGCTGGGATGGCGTGGCAGGGCGCACAACGTGGAGAAGGCATCTTGGCTCTGGTAGCATAA